AACATGTTTCCTAATTTTTCTTTCCTCAGTATAGCGTTGAATATTACTGGAGACAGGCCAAGAAATTCTGAGAATGTGGGTGGGTAGTGAAAACTAGAAAAATGTATCCTATTCTCTGCATCCGAGACTGATTGATAAATAACAACAACACGACCATAGCAAAGCATAACAGTAATATTGTACCTGGAAAATAAGGTGGGAAATTTAGCTGGCTATTTCTGCATTGATTACTAGTTGTTCCATTCACAAAGCTTGATGGCTCATTCATGTCCTTTTAAAAAGAGAGAGAAATGTAAACCAACTAATAAATTTATGTGGATAGACAAGGTGCAGTGGTAAATAGAGAGAGTGACCCATAAGGGAAGGTTCTATATTCATATTTGAATATTCCCCTGAACATAGGCCAGGCCAACATGTTCCCATGATCTGGGGCTGACTGAAGTGGACAATAGATCAGAATGTGAAGATCTGTTGGGGGTCCCTATCTCTCTGTCTCTTTCTCTGTCTATGTCTGCTACTCCCTCTCTCTCTTACTTAGGGAAAAAGAAGTAAATAAACTTTAAAAATAAATACATTTAGAATATATATTCTGAAAAGAGCAGATAAAGAGAGAAAATAAGTTAAAGCAGCATATTTAAACAATATTACATATTGTTAACAATATTACTCACTATTCTAAAATAAAATAAAACAAAAATATAAAGGCTCTCCATGACACTAAAGAATTTTGTTTAGCTCAGTATATCTTAACATTTTAAAAATCCATCCCTCCTTTAGAGAAGAAATATTTTTCTTGTATTATATTTATATATACAAAAGTGAATCGATTTCTATATTTCTTGTACATAAACTATTGTGGTATATGTCCCATTAACTTCTTCCCTTCTACTCCAGCCCTGAACTTGACATCAATTGCTTTTAGTTTTAAAAACACAAATATGGTTTACAAATACAGAAAACTTATCAAGTATCCCAATTGAATGTATAGCTCAAGATCTCAGTAAGCATTTATACAGTCACCATGGCCTAAATATTTCATTATTTATGGTCCCTGGTTTTTTCAGTCTTTTTATGTTGTCCAGGTCGACCTTGAGCTCATGACCTTCCTTTCTCAGCCACCTGAACTGCTGAAATTACAGGTCCATGCCACAATGCCAGACCTATATACACACATATATATGTATATTATGTACAATAGTATATATACATATACACACACACACACACACACACACACACATATATATATATACATATATATATATACACACTGTGTGTGTAGTATGTGTATATATATATTCACACACACATATATTTTTTAGAGAGAGTTTTGTTACAGAGTGCCTGCACTTGCCAGAGAGTCAGAAAATGAGAAATCATCCCCCCCCCCACGGGGGGTGGCCACACCATAATCCCTTCTCTTCCATCTCCTCTCAGGATTTGGGGCACACATGCACATGTACCCGGTGTGTTTCAAGCTTCTGCATCCAGGACTCAAACCACAGTCCATCCCATGGGAGTCCAGTGATGTAACTATTATGCCATCTGCTGGTCTCCTCAAATAATATTTTGTTGCTATTACTAGATTTTAGAATAATCACTAAACAATAAATAACTTAAAAGACAAATGTATTCCAAGTTTACTTACAATCCACAAACCATCAAACTTCATCCTGTCATTGTAGAAATCTAGAATTTCTCTTGCCCACCACTCTGCTGTGGAATTCCTGAAGAAATCTGGAAAAGCTACATGAGCTCGCGAAGCCTATAAAACCAAGATTCAGATTCACATTTAGAGAGTCATGATAGAGACTGTATGTGTCAAAATGAGAAATTTACCTATCAGATTGACGAGTTGCTCATGAACGATCATGAAAGCAACTTAACCTCACACCCTTAATTGTATAAATATATGTAATTTTTCTCCCACCACTCTAGTAGCCCTGGGATTAAAAACAAGATAGACAGAACCACATGTGAAGAGAGAGAGCAGCCTGGAAAATTAATATTTCATGAACTCTAATGCATGTTTTGCTGCTGTTGGATGGAATGTTCTATATATGGTTATGAAGTCCATTTGGTCTATGGTGTTGTTCAGTCTCCTGTTTCTTTGTTGGTCTTCTCTGTTGTATTACCCATTACAGAAAGTAGAATATTGAAGTCTCCAACAATTGATATTATTGCATTACTATTTGTTGCTCCTATAAGTTCTGTCAGTGTTTACTTTCTGTATTTGATTGGGTGCTTATATATTTAAAACTGTTATAGTTCCCTGATTATTACTTTTATTGTTGTATAATGATCTTTTTATTTCTCCCATGACAGCTTTTTACTTAAAAATCTATTTTCTCTGATTTAAGTATGGGTACCCTTGCTCCTTTTGGTATCATTTTCATGAAATATCTTTTGCATTCCTTTCACTTTCAGGAATGACCCTGGAGGATTTTATGCTGACTGAAATAAGCCAATCGAAGGACAAATATTTCATGATTTCACTTATATGAGATATTTTAAATTGTCAAATTCATATGAACTGGGAGTAGGATGGTAGTTGCTCAGGGCTAGGAGTTAGGTGAAAATAGAGAATTGCCAAACAAAAGGCATAACATTTCAGTTATACTAAGTGAGTGAGTTCTCGAGATCTGCTGTGCAATATTGTCTTCACAGTTCACATCACTGCATTGCACACTTAGTATTTTGTGAAGAGAGTAGATCTCATGTTAAGTGTCATTACACAATATTTTCTTAAAAAATTGATTAATTAGACTAAATTAGATATTAAATTATTTTAATAGAGTGACTGATACATTTTGGTATTTCTTTCTTTATTTTTTTTAGAGGTTTTTACTATAGGGCGCGTGAGCTTGCCAGAAAGACAGAGAGAGACAGAGAGACAGAAAGCAAGAAATCACCCCCCAGGGGATGGCCACTCTGCAATGCCTTCTCCTCCATTCTCCTCTCGGGATCTTGGGCACGCACGCACAAATGCCTGGCATGAGTTTAAGCCACTGGGTCCAGGACGCGAACCACGGAGTTCAGAGACATAGCCATTACGCTAACTGCTAGTCCCACATTTTGGTATTTCAAACAAATTTGATTTAAATATAATCAGATATGAAAAATCATAAAAGAAATAACTTTTTCTTTTTCTATATTATTATTATTTTAATTTCTTTTATACATTTAATCTATATACATTATTATAGTTTGTAGAGTGAATTTACCCAACATGAATATACTTCAGACCAGTTCAATAAGCACTTATTTTGAGAAAGTGTTCAAGTTAAATTATTGGTAAAAGTGACCATGAAATCCAAGTTCTTAATTTCTTTTAGTTTGATGGTTAATTAACATAAAACTTACATTAACAGCTTCATCTTCAGTTAGAGTTTCATCTATTGTTATATTGGGCAAATCTGGCCAAACCTATAAGACAGAAGAAATGCAAAATAGTTCAAAATAAATTCAGGATGATATAATTATAATGTAAGTTTTGTATAATGCAATATTTGAGGCATAATATAGATTCCAAGACCCAGATCCATAATCCCTTCAATTACTTTTTCAGGTTTTTCTTTACTTTTTTTTGGGTGCTGATATATGTACCAATTACAAATTATTCTCATTTTTCACCTTAGTCTGTCCGTTAATATGGAAAATAGAAAAACAATTTTCAATTTTCATGGTAGTTAGTAATTTTGAAGAGAAAACATAAACCTGAAAAGTCTGATCAAGAAATACTATTACAAAATACTAGATTTATATTTAATGTGGTGTGTTAGATTTAATTTAATATGGTGCATTAGATTTAATTTAGAAATATTTCTAGAACTACTTAAGAATTAAAAACTAAAAACAGGGACCAGCAGTTAGTGCAGTGGCTATGTCGCTGGACACCCATGTTGTCAACTGCTGTTCGAGTCCTGGACCCGGTGGCTTTAACTTACACCTGGCATGTGCAATGAACTAATATACTATGTTTGAATTTTGCCATTTTAATCAATAATGTCTTAATTTTCATTCAAGATCCAATGAGGATCTCACATAGAATTTAATAATATATTCCATTGCAACATTTGTGGTTTGTTTTCTTTATATTCCAGTTATTCTGAACTTTTGTTCTTTTCTTTCTTTTATTATCAGAAGGTCCATGTGCTTGCCAGAGAGAAACATAGGGAGTAAGAAGTGAAGTACCTCCAAATGGGGTGTGGTCACAGACACAATCCTTTTTCCCCCACTTCTCCTTGTCAGGACTTTGGGCACTCATGCATACCTGGCATGCTTTTCAAGCCACCAGGGCCAAGATTCAAACAGCTGTTGGCCATGTGGGATCTGGCTCACTTAATCACTTAATCAGTATGCCACAGGGGTGACCCTGGATTTTTTTCCTTGATCTTTTTCATGAAAACCAAATCCAGATGCATTCTCCAATATAGGCATACACTTATGTCTAAGTATTATCATTTATATGAAATACAGTGATCTAGTTCTTTAGAAATATAACTATAGCTTTTTAAAAAACTGTTGCTTTTATTAATCAGATGTGTTTAAGAAAAGTGCAAACTTTTAAATTACTTGCAGTGTAGAATGAGTATCCAACTTACCAATTGTTATTTATAATAAAACAGAAAATATTCTATGATAGATGATCAAATAGGATTTAAAGATACAATAAATAGTATTTGAACATAGAATTTGTATGAATATTTTCTTTGTGTCTAATAATTTGGATTAAACTCAGTAAGCATATAGTATTTTATTATACATTTTTTCTCTGAATATGTTAACATTTTTAATTAAATGAAAACATTTAATGAAATAGAATTTTTCTACTTAATCTGTTTTAAATCAAAAGTCTAATACCTTTGCCCAGCAAATATCATTGGTATTGGGCCATTTGACAAAGACATCTTTCTCCAGTCCTCTTTCAAATGCAGGATAAGGTTGTGTTTCATTTCCTGAAATTGCTGGATCCTAAAATTAAAATAAAATATAAGCAAGGTACATGTGGAACCAAAGAATAGCCACTGGAGTAGCCATTATACAACATTATACTTTTTCATAAGGTGTTCTCACATGGACTGCCAATGGTACAAACATCAGCATTCTGCCTAGATCCTCCTCTGAATTCCTTGGAAGGATATTCTAGACTTTCAAAACCCTATTAGCTATGATTTTAACCTAGAGTACTAGGGCTTTTTGTTTTATTTTTCTTTCTCTAGTGGAATATCTAGGCTGCTTCTCTTGCTTCCTATAAGATACTGATTAAATATTTTCCCCACTGAATCACTAAACTGAATTTTTAAAAATATGAAACAGAAGCAGTTACAGAGACTGGCTTGTAGGTCTGTAGGTTAGAAGTTTGCCTTTGACTCCAACTGTAGACCTAGATTTGTATGGATATGCCTAAATTCAAAAGTAGCTGACAGCAGCCCAAGTGAATAAAGTGGAGTGTTAACAAAGAAAGTTTTAGACTTAAGAATAGAATCTAAAGTTATTTGCTTTCTATTTTGAAACACCTTTCCGCCTCTGATTTATTAATTTTAGAAGAATTAATAAACCAAGATAAAATGACTCAAGTAAAATGCAAATACTTACCAGAATAATAATGTATCTCATTCCTTCTCCTCTTATTCTATCAACAAATTGAGGAAGGTCAGAGAATCTTTCACCAATTGTGAAGTCTAATTGCCTTTCCATGTAGTCAATGTCTGTGTATTGAACATCCTGGAATGTGTGAGAATTGTGGCAGAGGCATGAGAAACACAAAAGAGCAAGTCTGTCATATTCCATTATACATACAAAAGTGACAACAATATGAAAATTTTGAATCCTCTTCACTGGGTCCTAAAAATAATTGATCGAATAACACAGTATTCAAGAAATATAGGTAGTGGGACCAGCAGATGGCACAGGGGTTACATCTGACTCTCACATTTTGAGTATGGCTCAAGTCCTAGACCTGGTAGCTTGAAAATCATGCCAAGCATGCGTTCATGCACGCCCTAAATCCCGAGAGGAGACGAAGAGAAGGGATTGGAGCATGGCCATCTCTGTGAAGGGTGATTTCTCACTTTCCTTCTCACTTTCTTTCTCTCTTTCTCTCTCTCCCCCAAGTGAGTGTCCATGCACTATGGCAAAAAAATAAAATAAAATAAAAAGAAAAAAGAAAAAACCTCTTAAAAGAAACATAAATATTTGTAAATAGGCTAAACTAACAACTGTTTTTATCATGGGATCATCAGTTTAGTACAAAATGACAAATTATTAATTTTCTGTTAATTGACATTAGCTCAATTTCTTAATGAAATATTTGGCTGATATAATGGGGCTAGTCATTTAAAACCTCCTTTTTTTCTCATTCCTTCTTTTATACTTTTAGTTTTAACTGCCAGAGGGTGCATGTGTTCATCGGAGACAGAGAGGGTGAAAGCACTCCCCAGTGGGGGCGTGGTCATGTTGCAATCCTTTCCTTTTCTCTATTTCTCCATCTCATCAGGATCTGGGGTACACATGCACATGTGCTCAGTGGGTTTTTCAAGTCTGCAGGGCTGGAATTTGAACCAAGGTCATTCATATGGGAACCAGGTCCCTTAACAAGTGTGAAGTAAAGCTGGCCTTGCAAATCTCCCTATTTATGATAAATTTCCACTTGCATTTTTCTATATTATCAAGCAATACAATGAATTTTTCATGATAATATATTTATGAAGCATATGTTGAATTCCATTGTAGTTATCAATGCCCTATAATGAGATCTTTCTGATTTCTTCCTGAAATGAGCTATCGCATACCACAAATTCTATATTTCAATGTTTAAGTGTTACCAGGAGAATCCCTGAGATTCCTTAATCTTGTGAAAAACTAAACCACAGAAACTAATTATATGTAGATATTTTGGAATACTTAGTTTTCCAAACATTGAGGGAAGAAATATTTTGTAAAGCTTTTTATTCTGTATTAAACATTACAACTATCCATTATGGAACAAAATCATCCAGCTTTACTTCCAACTTCTCAATGGTTTGTCTCATCAGTTGATGATATAGATTCCTATGAACTTTTTTTTTTTAAAGAAATTTTTGCCTTGGGCTATGTGTGCTCGCCCATGTGCTCACCAGGGATAGGGGGAGAGAAAGAGTTAGAGGGAAAGTGATAAATTACCCTCAAGGGGGATGGCCAAGCCCCAATACCTTCTCCATTCTCTGCCCAGGATCTTGGACATGCACACACATGTACTTGCATGATTTTCAAGCCACTGAAACCTGGACTCAAACCACGGTCACCATATAGGAGTCCAATGACATAATCCACTATTCCATTGGTTGACCCTCCATGCGCTCTTAATCTAACATAAAGAGAACACATAGGGAGCCAGCAGGTGGCATAATGGTTAGGTCCCAGGACTCCAATATAGCCAATGGCAGATCGAGTCCCAGACCTGGTGACTTGAAACTCACACTAAGTGTATGTACATGTGTACCCAAAATCCTGAGCGGAGAAAGGAGGAGAAGGGATTGTGCCGCGGCCATCCCCCCTGGAGGGTGATTTCTTACTTTCTGTCTCCCTGTCTATCTGGTTAGTATGTGTGACCTATAACAAAAAATCTCTCTAAAATAAGAACACACAGAATCAGTCTAACTACTTACACAATCCACAGTTTATGAGAAGAAATCTAGTGAATGGTGAACTTATTTAGTACAACTCAGGATCACAGACCGGGAAGAAAGCATGAAAGGAAAGACGTTGTATAAAAATCTCATATCTCATTTGTAAAGTGCTAATGAAAAAGGTATTACCAAATGTTTCAAATAATTTTAAGGTATGTAAGTGTTTAATTACTTCATCCGGCTTTTAAAGATTCCATATTTAATACTGTCTTTAAAATTGATATACATACGTAGGGGATTTGCGCAGCCACCATTTCATTATAAACTTGTTCAACCTCTGAAGTATTTCTGTACCCGTAACGACATAATTGGAATCCTAAAGCCCAATATGGCGGCATGACTGGGTGGCCAATTACCTTAAAGGAAAAAAAAAATATTATGTTTAAAAAAATTATTTTGCAACACAAAGAAAATTTCATGTTTTTAAGAGAAATATGTAATCATACTTCATGGTATTGCTGTGTTGCAACTTCTGGAGTTGGGCCCAAAAACATATAAAAGTCCAAGATTCCTCCAATTATGCGGTAAGTTAGAGAAGGAGTTGGTTGGAATGTAACATCTAGAAAACCAAATGTGATTCCATTTTGTCTGTGTATAACATATTAGTTTACTTAAAGATTCCATAAAATAAAATAAATTCAACAAGCGATTGTGTTACCCATTCCATTGCTGTTGAGTAAGAGAACTCCATGGGCATTGCCCTCTTCTTCCAGTGTCATGTGGTAGGGATGAAATCCATAGGAATTAAGTTTATACTGAAATTTTGAAAAAAAAATCACAATATATACTTAAATAGTAATAATACATGAATTTAATGCTACTTTTGCATACATTATAAGATTGAGTCTTGGATTTAAATGTTATTTTTCTGATACACTCAAGCCATGCTTGAATTCAAATAAATTGTACTTCTCTTAAACATATAATTTATTTATTGTTTGAACTGTTGCTGCCTTGAAGCATACAAATTAATAGACAAAATGAATATATAAAATATGTATCCATAACAACCAGAGATACTGCCACTTTAACTGAAGTAGGATGTCATTGACATTAGGGTTGTTGGCTTTTTTCCCCAAAGATTTTATATCTTAATTGTAAATTGATAATTATTTTTTTATGATAAAATGTTTTAGAAATGGTTCAAACAAAGAAATAAAATGATTCTAAAAAGACAGTAAACAACCCATTCAGAAAATCTTATGTTAATATATTTAAGGCCATCCCCCCTGGAGGGTGATTTCTTACTTTCTGTCTCCCTGTCTATCTGGTTAGTATGTGTGACCTATAACAAAAAATCTCTCTAAAATAAGAACACACAGAATCAGTCTAACTACTTACACAATCCACAGTTTATGAGAAGAAATCTAGTGAATGGTGAACTTATTTAGTACAACTCAGGATCACAAACCGGGAAGAAAGCATGAAAGGAAAGACGTTGTATAAAAATCTCATATCTCATTTGTAAAGTGCTAATGAAAAAGGTATTACCAAATGTTTCAAATAATTTTAAGGTATGTAAGTGTTTAATTACTTCATCCGGCTTTTAAAGATTCCATATTTAATACTGTCTTTAAAATTGATATACATACGTAGGGGATTTGCGCAGCCACCATTTCATTATAAACTTGTTCAACCTCTGAAGTATTTCTGTACCCGTAACGACATAATTGGAATCCTAAAGCCCAATATGGCGGCATGACTGGGTGGCCAATTACCTTAAAGGAAAAAAAAAATATTATGTTTAAAAAAATTATTTTGCAACACAAAGAAAATTTCATGTTTTTAAGAGAAATATGTAATCATACTTCATGGTATTGCTGTGTTGCAACTTCTGGAGTTGGGCCCAAAAACATATAAAAGTCCAAGATTCCTCCAATTATGCGGTAAGTTAGAGAAGGAGTTGGTTGGAATGTAACATCTAGAAAACCAAATGTGATTCCATTTTGTCTGTGTATAACATATTAGTTTACTTAAAGATTCCATAAAATAAAATAAATTCAACAAGCGATTGTGTTACCCATTCCATTGCTGTTGAGTAAGAGAACTCCATGGGCATTGCCCTCTTCTTCCAGTGTCATGTGGTAGGGATGAAATCCATAGGAATTAAGTTTATACTGAAATTTTGAAAAAAAAATCACAATATATACTTAAATAGTAATAATACATGAATTTAATGCTACTTTTGCATACATTATAAGATTGAGTCTTGGATTTAAATGTTATTTTTCTGATACACTCAAGCCATGCTTGAATTCAAATAAATTGTACTTCTCTTAAACATATAATTTATTTATTGTTTGAACTGTTGCTGCCTTGAAGCATACAAATTAATAGACAAAATGAATATATAAAATATGTATCCATAACAACCAGAGATACTGCCACTTTAACTGAAGTAGGATGTCATTGACATTAGGGTTGTTGGCTTTTTTCCCCAAAGATTTTATATCTTAATTGTAAATTGATAATTATTTTTTTATGATAAAATGTCCTAGAAATGGTTCAAACAAAGAAATAAAATGATTCTAAAAAGACAGTAAACAACCCATTCAGAAAATCTTATGTTAATATATTTAATAATCTTATGTTAATAATCTTATGTTAATATATAGTTTAATAATCTTATGTTAATTAATAATCTTATGTTAATATATAGTTATAAAATACTTACATTTTATATGTACAAACCATTTCATTCATTGCCCCATACTTGAACCTCAGAAATTTATTAACAAGTGAAGTTAATTTTATACATTGGGAACCAAGAGTGTATTAATCTAACCATAGCTATATAATGTTGAAGGGTATTTAAGGAGTAAATTTTGGTAAAGCTTAGTCTTTCAAGCTGGTATAAATGAAAACAGATTTTGATAGCCTAAATTTGAACTATTATGATACAAATAATAATAATTTTGAGCACTTATAAATAAAAAATGGCTTTAATAATATATACAATTATAATTTTCCTGTATATACCCTTTAAGTATATGTCACATGTGAAATATGTAAATGGGCTTATTTTTTAACTAAAATGTATTTTTTTATATATTTAGAATAATTATAGCCTATCTAATTTGTTGTACAGTACATTAAATATTTATAAAACGTATTCCATCAACAAGACAAAATTTAGGGGAAAATGTCATGAGTATGTAAAAACTATAGAAGTATAACTAGCAGTTTGCCTTCATAAAAATGAACAACTGCAACTGAGGGTTATAAAAGGAAAGGATCAAATTATTATCCAAGAAGTTTTAAAAAAATCTAGGAGAACTCTAGGCAGTTTTTTAAAAATCTGGGAGTAAATGTCAACTTGACAGGGAATACTGAATCAGATGCTCTTTCTGTGCTGCAGCTGAAAGAATTAAGGAGTTGGCTCACAGCCCAGCTTCCTCTGTAAGAAAGCGCGTTCTATCCACTTACTACGCTGCTTTCATTTATGGTGCTTGTTTTGTTGTTGTTGTTGTTTTTCAGAACATCACTATAGCAACTTTGGAGATTGCTAGACCTTTGTCATGAGTTTTAACACTGACATATAATCCTACAAAGAAGTGGCTTGACTCTTAGCCGTGGTCTTAACTGCTTCATAGGGCAGTCAAATATTGATACCTACTCCAGGAGGTTGGTCTCTCGTGAACATTCCCCAAGTCTGCCAGTTCAGATCATGCCTAAATGTTGGGTGTTCTACTTCTCCAAAACCATATATATATCTTGATGGCAGACGAGTAGATATTTGAATGAATTGGTCATTAAAAGCAAATCCAGGCAGGCGAGTATCCCAACTGAGAACCAAAACAACAACAAAAAATCAATTCAGTTCCTATAAAATGCACATGAAATAGTATTAGCAATAATAATGATAATTATTGGGACCAGCAGGTGGCATGGTGGTTAAGATGTTGGACATAAGAAATAAAAAGATATCAATATTGCAATATAAGAATAATGGATATTATCATTCCAAACTATCAACAATTATCAGTTCCATTTTTTTTCTTATTTTATTTTTCATTTATAAAAGTTGGTATTGAGGAAGAGGTGTGTTACAAAGAACGTTACATGAGTAAGGGACCAGCAGTTGGCATAATGGCTATGTCGCTGGACACCCACATAATCGACTGCAATTCGAGTACCAGACCCAGTGGCTTAAACTTACACCAGGCACGTGTGCGTGCATGGCCAAGATTCCGAGAGGAGAATGGTGAAGAAGGGATTGCAGTGTGGCCATCCATCCTGGGGGGTGATTTCTCGCTTTCTGTCTCTCTGCCTCTCTCTGTCTTTCTGGTGAGCACACGCACCCTATAGCAAAAACCTCTCCAAAAAAATAAAAATAAAAAAGAATGACATGACAATAGTAAATTATATAAAAGTAAGTTTTAATACAAGGAAACTTCAAAAAGCCAAAAGCTCATGGAAAATGGAAGAAAGTATGTTTATTTTGGCACAAAAATTTTTAAAATTCATATGTTTTTGTCATGACCTCTTCCATAAATATTTATAAAACTCCTTGTATACTATTATAAATGTAGAGCTTTTGACTAAGATAAAAACAATAATTTTAATGTATTCATTGTGACATAAAATATATGTAGATTTATCAATTTCTTTTCAATAATATCTGGTAGAAAAAGTATTAACTCTTACCACATTCCATCCCCAGTAAATAATTTCAACAATTCTAATAAAATATTTACTAATACATATCTAATTACTTATTTTTGCCAATAGTCAACATGCTTTTCAAGAGAAGTCTTGGCTTGGGTTCTCAACTAGATTATTTAGTAATAAATTCATTACGTCTGAAATGTAAATAAAATTTAAGTCAACCGTTTATGGTAGTTTCATTGGTATGCTAAATGTTTAGATTTTAAATGTTAAAGTGGTCAAAGTTACTCAATCCCTCTACAACTTTTAGTGCAGTGTTATGCTAACACTAAGTGAAGGCTGCAAAAATAATGACATTTTTCCCTTCCTAGACTAAAGTTAAATTATATCTATATCAAATGATTCAAGCACTTACATAACTCTTCCACTGCTTCTCCGTCGAATCTGGATACCAAACGGATTCTCTTTGATTTCAACATCATAAAGTCTATTTTCATAAGTACTTGTTGGAGTAGCTGGAATGTTTAATGGGACTGGAACTTCATATCTCTTATTTTGGGGATCATAAATCTATTGACAAGAAATAATAAAAATAAATACCGTCTGCTCTTATGGCTTACATAGCTTGTAAATATATTATATAATTTAAATAATGGTTGAAACAAGAGTATTTAGAATTGTTATTTATAGAAGTCCTAGTTCTATATTCATGACCCATGTTTCTATATAGATTACCTTAAAAACACAATAATCTTGTATTTTTATAGCTTTCTAAGGATACTTTTGGTTCATTTTCCATACAACAAGAAATCAAAAAACTTTGAGCTAAATACTCCATTATACGAATATACTAAAATTTTCTGCAATTTCATACTTAGACAGAGAAGTCGTTTCAACTTTTTTTTTGCCTTACATATGATCCTACAATAAATGTTAAGCTAATTTAGGTTTATTCACGTCTTTCTTTCCTCAGTACAGTTCAGAAAAGTGATAGATTAGGTCTGAGTATATGAACATCTTTAGAATCCCTGATATCGTTGGCAAATTGCTTTCCAAAATCGTCATACCAATGAACATGTTCACCAAAATATGTACTCTAATACCAATATATAAACGCCTCTATTTTTTTTTAGATATTTGCTTGCTGTTGGGGATGTACATTTTCTACATATTGCCCCTACTTTGATTTTGCCTTTGTTCTTTTCATTTTTTTTTTAAATTCGCCAGAGGGTGAGTGTAATCACCAGACAGTGAAAAAGAGATTGAGAGAGAGGGAGAGGGAGAACGTATCATCCAGTGAGGTGTTCAATTCCTTCTCTTCCATCTCTATTGCACGCTTTGGGGCATGCAAGTGCATGTAGCCAACATATTTTTCAAGTCATGGGAGTGAGGTTTGACAATGTGGTATCTGGCTCTCTAAAATACTAGGCCACAGGGCATTTTTTAGTGATTTTTTTTTATTTTTTGGGGGGATGGTAACTGTTTTAATATTTTTATCTCCAATACTTGCTGCTTCTGTTAAATCTTTGCTTACGAGGTTTTAATATATTACTTGATATATACAAAATTTACCAGTTTGTGTCTTCCAATTGTTTATAGTGCTTTTAGATGAGAAAATATTAATTTTTTATGTTAGAAAATGTATAGATTTGGGGGTCAGCAGGTGGTGTGGTGGGTAAGGGTGCTGGAGTCCCACATGACTGACAACAGTCTGAGTCCTGTACCTGGCGGCTTGCTGTCTCATTCATTCTCTCTGTCTCTCTCTCTCTCTCTCATCAAATTAAAATAAATAAAGTTAAATAAAATAATTCATTTTTTAAAAAGAAAATATATAGATTGTATGCACAGAATTTATGTCTTTGTGTTTGGTTTGAAAGGCCTTTACTAGCCAGATACAAAATAAATATGCACTTAAATTTTGTTCCAGACTTACCTTTAATTTTCACAGGCAACTCAGGGTCGATTTTATTTTTGCATATGATTTGAGACAGACATTATTCTTTATGAATCATTAAATGACCTACATCTTCCTATTAATTTCTGAACCTTATTTTGTTTTGTATTACAGTTAATGTTACACACACACCTACTGCATATCTTTTATGCTTTTGTGCCATCCTGTGTCAATAAATTACCAGGCGATTCTAGCTCCAGCTCCAAGATGTTTTAATATTGTGAACTGTTTTGTTTTGTTTGTTTGTTTGTTTTAGAGATTTTTGCTATAGGGCACGTGAGCTATTTAACAACTATCAACAATTTTTCATAGTTTTTTCATTAGAGACAGTTCATTTACTACTACAATTTTTGATGTTATTTTTTATTTGCTTTTGCTAGTAGGATTTTCTGCCATTTCAGCTTCTAAATGGTGAACGACCATATACAAAGAAACATTTGGTGAGATATCATTTTAAACAGGCATTTTTCTGATATTCCATATTATTTCCAATAGTTTTCTTAATGGATTTCTTGAAGTTTTTAAATTTTAAAAAGAAAAATGTTAACTGTAAATATTCAAAGAAAGCATTTCTTTTATATATCTTGTTACTTTGGCTAGAAAATTAAGATTCTTATTTTAAAATAATGATAACAGTAAAATCCTGTTTTGTTTTGTTTTTTTTTTCTGTTATGGGACTGTCAATATAGTTCAATTCTACATGTCTTATCTATTTAGCAAGAACTTAAATTTATTTTTGAAAATCATCGCTTGTATATTTTTTGACAAAGACAAAAATAAGAGGCATTGGTTATTGAACATGTACTGAACT